AGATAACATGAAACCTCAAGATTCAGCACTATAGTTTTACACGAAACACTAAGGTTTCGTATTTTCAGGCAAAACGGTTTTTTGCTGTACGGAACTTAAAAAGGTTACGTAGAGGGTGGTTTAGCTCGTGTACCCGCGGTCAGATCTTTTTCAGGTTTCGCAAATTTTGAAAACCATTTTTTTCGACACGTTGACGCATCTGGAAGCTATTCGATACCTACGAAACCTTTTCGATGGGTTTCGTAGTAAACTTATTTTTTTACAGTGTGAGGACCCAAGGGTACCCTACGTAACTTCAATTCGGTCAAAAGAACTGAGAGAACAATTCAGTTCACGTAAGCTGAACTATTTGAATAAGTTCAGTTCATTCAAACGAACTGTCAGAACAGTTCAGTTCGACGAGCTGAGCTTTTTGAAAAAGTGAACGTTCCTGAACTAGAGCTGAACTTGACAGCCCCTAATAACAATAAGTAAGCAAAATACGTTAAATAAGAAGAAGCTGAAAATATCGTTTATGATCAATTTATTCAGCTTTTTTATAACCTTAGTTGGCGCAATATGAACTTTTTCATTGAATACGTGTCTAACGAGTCAAAAAGGTTTTGGAAAAGTTTAGACATATAAATACTGCTTATAGTCCAGAGATCTAAATTTATATTTGTCAAGAACTTCATTCGATAATATCTTATCAACAGTTTGCTTTCTACTATGGATCATCTTTTTTCTATTTTTAATTATATTTTATCGAACAAGTTGTATCTTACCACATGATTTTTCTAAAAACGAGAAATTTTGAATTCGATTATTCCATCCATCAACAACGAACATATTGCCTAAGGTATCAAAACTAAGGCCGACTGGAGTATCCAATTGATGAGGTTGTGAACCTTTTCCACGGCATCCAACTAAACACCGAAAACCGTTGACTCCTGATCCAACAATACGATGATTCCCCATATCTACAATGAATAGATATTTCTCGACATCCAGCACTACTACTGTCGGTCTCCGAAGATCGATTGTTGGATTTTTTGATTGATATCCTGCTACAACAATGCCAACTGTTTGTTCCAGCTGAAATAAATGAACTCGATGGTTCTCACAATCTGCTATATATAAGTCAAAGTTTGTATCAACAAAGATTCCACATGCAGACCTAATCTGATCCAAATTTGATCCCCATACTCCTGTTCCAGCTGCGCGAACCAATGTCATGTCATCTACATATTTTTTCACAACTTGAGACTTTCCAGATAGTCCACAATACAAAGTATCATTTGAATCAATAAAGAGACATTCACATGTTGCACTAAAATCGCTTACGGTGACGAGTGTACCATTCTCTGCTATCCATTTGCTTACTCGAGGTTGATATCGACTAGCAATATAGATATCATTATTATTTGCAACGAAGAATGAAGCAGGAATATCGTTTATCGGAATGGTTTTTTTTAGATAGTGGGTTCCTTCATGCCATACATGGATCTGTATTGTTTCTTCCGAATGAAGATAAATCGTATTATTCTTAGTAATGAATAGGGACCTACATATCTACCCACCATTGAACCAACAGCAAAAGTATTACCGATCGGGTTCCACTCTGCAGTTGCACAAAATTTTGGCTGAACCATCGACGTAGCTAAAAAATTACAAGAAAAAAGACAGTATGGAGATTTCCCATCCGTTTTGCTCAAAGATAAAGAAGAAAGTTGCTTACATTTCAGAAGTTTTTCAATAGTTTTGCTATTCAATCGAAACCTTTTATTCAGGATCGAATTCTTTCTCATTTTTGATGCCGAGTAAAAGCTTTATCTATTATTTTACTTTGAAACATATATGTCGTAGGATGAATCAAAATTCAGTTCAGTTTTAAATCGTCCTAGTTTTTATTAAAATTTTAATAAAAACTAGGATATATTAAAATTTTGATCTGAACTATTCATAGCGGACTAATACAGATTGAAATAGTTTGATTAGAGCTAGGATGAACTGAAATAGAGTCATAGATAACTTAGATAGAATTTATACTTTGCTTCTTGTTTAATAAGAGAAAACATAATCTATTTGATAGCAAAAAAACTGCGAAAAAAAAAGCTTATTTAGCAATTTTTGCATTTAAATCCATTACCACCATGACATTTAATACAACATTTTCGGCCATTTTTCTGACATTGACATCGATTAGAAGCACAACCACCGTTGCATTTACATGTTTCAGCTAATCTAAAATTGGTATAAAGTTGGCATGCTCGAATGAAAGTAATTGTTGACAATGGATCAGTGTTGAGTTCTCGCAATATTTTTCGCATCCATAGATTCCACATGCTCTTCAAATCTTTTGTAGAATGCTTCCTCCATCATATGAATATAGATTTAAATGTTTTTTTTTCCGTGCGACTAACTATTTATACAACCCAAACAAAGACTTACTTATGTAAAACTTAATCCTCTAGTTTAATAATGCATAGAAATTTTACTTCACGACATTTTAATCTCTCCTAGTTCGCTATGAATAGTTCAGATCAAAATTTTAATATATATCCTAGTTTTTATTAAAATTTCAAAATCGACTAGTTCAGTTTTAATTCATCCTACGACATATATATCGAATTTTCCTATAAAACGGTCCCTCTTTATATCGATTATCTTTTCATATATTTATATTTCATCATTCCGTCTAACACATTCCACTTACTACATGATTTTTCCAAAAACGAGAATTTCTGAATTCGGTGATTATGTTGATCAGCGACAAAAATATTGCCTGAACGGTCAAAAGCAAAACTAAAGGGAATTGATAACTGAAAAGATTGCGTGCCAGTTCCTCGACAGCCAACTAAACATCGAAAGCCGTTCGGTCCTGGTCCAACAATACGGTCATTCCCCACATCCAAAATGAATAGATATTTCTGAGCATCCAATATTACCATATTTGGCCATGAAAGTGAAATTGTTGGATTTATTGTTCCATCCCCTGCTACTGGCATTCCAATCGATTGTCCTAATCGAACTAATTGAACTCGATGATTGCCGCTGTCTGCTATATATAAGTCAAAGTTCGTATCAACAAAAATTCCTCGAGGCATATTTAGTTCGTTGAAGCGAGATCCTATTGCACCTGTTCCAGCCATGCGAACCAGTGCTCGAGATGGATCATGCAATGATTTTCTCATAACTTCATGAGTGCTTAGTGAAAAGTACAAACTGTCATTTGTATCAATAAAGAGACCATTCAATGATAATTGCGCATGAATTACAGTGACATTTGTGTTGCTCTCTGCTATCCATTTATCTATTCTACGAGGCCCTAGGTTATTGCCATAATAGATATCGCCATTGGTTGCAACGAAAAGAGAATATAAAGCATTAATATTCATAGGAGTGAGCTTTGTTGGATAAATACTTCCTTCATGCCACTCGATGAATTCCCTTTTCACCTGATTGTGGACGTATATACTATTATTTTTTGTGATAAAAATGAAGTGGGGACCTTTACCAACTGTTGTTTCATTAGAAAAAGTGATCCCAATTGGATCCCAATCTGCTGTTGGGCAAAAATTCGGTTGGTTAAAGGCAAGAACTAAAATGTGAAGAAAAACTCATAAGTAAAAATTACTGTAAAAAGTTAACTATTAGAGATGAAATAAAAGCTTATATCAAAAAGTTTTGACTAAAATGCAATCTAGAGAAGGATGTTGAACGTCCAACGATAGAAATCTGAATTCTATCAATTCTCTGATATACTGTGATCATCCTACTTCAACCTCTGTAATCGACTACTATAGATACTGTCCTATACTGGAAAAAAATAAACGAAGAATGATAAACCCTTAAAAAGGGTTGATGACGCGAAAATGAGTTTATTAATGTGATCTACCCGTTCTTGATCAACCCTTCTCCCATTTGGAATCGCGTAGGGATTTGTATCCCGTTGCAAATCGATGCTCCCTCAAAAAGGTTTCGCAGATGTCGAATGATTTCCAAAGCGTCAATATGCTGAAAAAAATGTCTTTCCTAATCTGTGGAACCTAAAAAGGATCTGCTCATGGACACACCCGCCGAATTATTGCCTAAAAAACCTTGTTTAGTTTCTTATAACAGAAAAAGGTTTCCTAGACGATATTTCGGCGCGTGTGTTTGCAGACAGATTCTTTTCAGGTTTCGCAGATTTTGAAAAGCATTTATTTCAACATATTAACGCATCTGAAAACTATTCGATATCTGCGAAACCTTTTTAGTCGGTTCAGTATTAATCCCTTTTTATTTACAGTGTATGTGTAACTGATTTATCTCGATTCTTACAAATATTTGGGTTCTGCAGTGACTGATTCTCAATAGACAAGAGCACTTACTCAGCTTTGTATTTCCAAAAATAATTTCAATGATGATGAAAAGTTTGTAGCCGATCATTTTTAAGAACTAATCTTCTATTAATTGAAATAACCCACCGAATGCTGCATTATTTGTATTCAATTATATGAGATAGAAGTCCTTTTTGATTTCCGTTCGACATGTGTTTATTTGCTCTTTTATATCTATGAATACGATCAAAGTTAAGAAAAATTTGTTTATAAAAGGCTTCTCCTTTTCTTTGATGGAGTGTCGTTCGTACAGATAATGACACTCTACGAATCCATGCCTCTGTTTCAGATCAAAACCCGAGTTCAAGCTTGACAAAGAGTGACGGACCTGAGCCAAG